GTTGCCTGTGTGGATGGTGGTTTGTACAAAAAGAGGGAAAAAAGGAACAGGGTTCGGTGGAAGAAATGAATTCGTTTTAAACTTCTTGAGTTTGAGGTAGCCATTAAACATTTAGGTGAAACCGGCCTAGTTAGGCTTTTCACATATGAAACTAATGTTTGCGGATTAATTTCCTGGTAAGCAATTTTTGAAAATTGCCAAAACTTATTTAGAGCTAAGATGCCATAAATTTAGGTTATGCCATTTTAAGTCAAACACAGAAATCATAGAATTGTGAAAAGGAAACATTATGTTTAATGTAAAGCCTGAGGGCCTTGGTGCATTTTAGGCTAGAATCAGAAATAGAGTGGTTCTGACTACAAACTGTTTAGCTCCTGAAGTTTTGGTTTTTTAAAATGAGTCTGAGCCTCAGTTTTCTAATCTAGGACATGGGTGTTTTCATAAGCCTGGAGTTTACAGGATTGCAGTGAGAACCAAAAAGATGGAAGCCTAAAGTTCTTTATCTCTAATGAAGATCTGACATGTATTAGTTCCTTTTTTCCTACCAAGTATTTAGAATGTTTTCCAAACATTTTTAAGAAGGGGAACTCTTTTCTCAAAAGAAGTCTTATACAGACCTAGAAAATGGATCAAAGCAAAACTGTCTCCCCTTCATCCAAGTTCTCAATTGCAACAACCATGTGGGAAAGTCAGGCTCTTTGAAAATCACTAATATAGTAAGATCCTCAATTTAAAGGTGAGAAAACTGGTCTGAAGAGGTAAAGAAAGTTTTTGCAAGTCATGTGATGAAAACAGACCCTGGTGCAATCTCCAGTTACCAGCTTCCTATTCCATACGCTTCCTAAAATGCCATAGTAACTATGACTGAAATAGCATTGACTCACATGGGTGGCTATGGTTATGGTTCTAAAAAAAACTGGTGTCTTAAATGTTCTGTGAAGTGTGGTGGCATTCCTGTCCCTTGTGGCCTCCAAAACACCCTTCTGCAAAGTGAGCCTCTTTTTAAGAGGCATGCTTGGATGTATTTAAAGAAATGGGCTTCATGCACCCACTTTATATGAAACATGGCCATGATGTTCATCTATCCTTCTCTCTTAATAGCTAGTGTTGGCAAGCATTTCGTATCTTAGAGGGCTTAGAAAATGTGTCCTTGGGCAGTGGTTTCAGACGTGGAGTAACCCAGGGAACATTTTTAAATTGTGTATTCTGGGACTCAATCCTGGAAGATTCTGAGTCAGAGGGTCTGAGGTGGATCTTTAGAATCTCATTTTTTGAAGCTTCCCAGGTGAGGCTTGAATTTGGGAACCCCTGCTCTGTGGACCCCTGGAGTGGCCAGTGCTGTTCCCCTGACATTTCCTTTCTAGATAACTATCACTTTCGAGCACTTAATGACATTGCTCAGATCTTCTCTCTAGTTCAGAACCAGAACATGATCTGCCCTACCTGAGTCAGCCTATTCCCATTCATCAAACCTTTTCCTTGAGTAACAGCTTACAGGCAAAAAATGGTGTCAGCTTGGCAGTAGTAACAACAACAATCTAAAAGCCATCACTTTTTGAGCATTCGCTATGTGACAGATGAGTTTTTGGTGTTTTGTCTGTATTTTCTGATGACAGAAGTCTGACCTTTAGACTTTTATTTACAACTGCCTACTCAGTATTTCCAACAGAACTCTTGATGACTCCCTTCCCTGATCGATGCTCCTATCCCAGTCTTCCCTCGGTACCTTCCCAGCAATCAGACAGTTGCTCATGCCCAGATCTCTTCTTGCCTCCCATTTCCCCTCACAGACCATAACCAATCCAGCAGTAAATTCTGTCAGCCATGCCCTCCAAATCTACCACAATCCAACCACTTCTACTCTGCTCCACCAAGAGCCATTCAATCCAAATCTCTATTATGATAGTAGCTGGGTGACTGGGCTACTTTTGCTTCCTATGGCTAGTCCTTCAAAGATGAAGCAAGAATAATCATTAAAAGTGAAAATCAGAGATGTCATTCATTCATGGGCCTAAAATCTTCAGTTACTTCCTATCACATTTAATTAAACATCAGTGTCCTTACCAAATTTTACCTGTAAGGTCTATATGATCTGGCTTAGTCTCTCTCCCCCAAATTCTTCTTGTATCACTCTATTCCTTGCCCCCCTTACCTTTACTTCACTACTGTCCCCAAAATAAGCCCAATTTTGGCCCACCTCAGGGCCTTTACACTTACTATTCCCCCTACCTGGACCCCTCTTGCCCCAGAACTTCCCATGGCTCCCTCTCTCATTTCACACAGATCTCTGTTTAAATAACATTCTTGGTAAGGCCTTCCCTGCACAGTCTTCCTAAAATAGTACTCCTGCCTCTCTATTCCCTTTCCCACTTCACTTTTCTGCATAGCTTTTACTACTACCTAACATTGTGGCATACATTTATTTGGCTGGTTTATCTGTCTCTCCAACTGGAGTGTCAGCTCTGTGAGGGAAAGGATTTCTGTCTGTGTCTTTTTCATCTTTTTATCCCTGGCACTTGGCACATCATCAGTGCTTATAAAGTATATGCTGAATGAATGAATGAATGAATGAACGAATGAGTGAGTAAACATAGCCTTTGTTACCCTCTGGGTTCTCCTGCAGCAGTGCCTTTGATTCTTATCCCTCAGATGTACAAGGAATTCCTGTAAACTTTGATGACATATGTCCTGATCTGTCAATCATTTGACTCATGATCTTGTTTGCCTTTTGTCACTGCTCCTTAATATTTATTAAGAACGGAGCCATTCCTAGAACAGTCCTTAAAATACTTCACTATTACCCCCGAAGCTAAGGCTGCTAGGGTTTGCCTCCTACCCATCGCGTCAGCACTTTCAGATTTAGGTTGAAAGAGAGCTATAAAGAAGGCATGCGACGTTGGGTCATCATTGTTCCCATAGCCAGGAAAATACTCCATGCATATTTACTGCCTCTCCCCAACCTTGATAGAGCTGTGTGAGTGCGGGAAACATACTTTGAGGTGGACAACAAAAATGCTTACTCTGGGACCCTATGGCTAATATTCCTCCTTCTCACACTAAAAATGTATAGATGGATGATTTTCCTCCCCTTTTGTGCATGGCTTCCTTGTCCACTCAGCCGTTTGCTACAGGAAGTTTTTGCATATGTTCTCTGTTCACCGATGCCTGAAATACTCGTATAGCTCTGCCTTCTTTTTATTCACACTCAGAGCATTTGTTTTATGACACATGAGAGCCAACAAGTGTGGTCAAGTGCAAACAGACCCATATGCAGGTTGGGTGGGAAGGGTTCCTTGCGGAAAGCTAGCTCTCCCCACAGAGCACCCACACACAGACCCGTGGGAGGCTGGCAGCTCTGCTGAAACAGAGTGGGCCAGCTTGCCAGTGGGCACCTTGCTCTCGGAGCAGATGGGGCAGGCAGCAGAGCACGCACGTCCGTTCCGGCCACATGCATATTTCCCGTTTGTGTCTTTTATTTACAGGAGACAAATTCTTGAACAGAAAGCCCAAGCTTACAAAATAAGAGTCCAGGAAGGATGTGCTCTCAGCCTTAATTAAAACATGAGAGAAAAGAAATCAACATTTTAACCTGATTTACTAAAGCTTATATATTAACTTGTTACAGACCCTTCTCCATCCTAAATCACTCATCACTGAAGGGGGATGCCCTGTCTTGCTCCAGCAGTTTTTCGCTTGCAAACTCACTGGGTAGCTTAATCTTTTCTCAAGAAAGGCCAGAGATGTAAGGAGAATCACTGCATGCGAGGAAATTAATTTTACCAGCATACATGATCTGAAAATACTATTGGAATTATTTTCCAAAACTATTTTTCTCTTTTTACTTGTCCCATTTTAATAAAAGCGTCCTTTTCCTGCTCACTTCAGAAGATGCCTACAAGGTATTAGGACTTAAATTGCAGCATAAGCAAAAATATTTACATGTTGAAAGTCTTGTTTAATATTACCTGTGGAATGTCCCATTTGCCCCAGTGGAAAACTTAAAAGAGAGAAGAATAATTGTGATTACTAAAAACATACGAATCACCTTAGATAATCTATAAACATTGTATCCATTCAAATAGAAGACAAAAACAAAAAGAAAAAAGGGTCTCTCACAGACCCTACATATAATTTATGGGCATATTAAAATAGTATTTCATGTTTACTTAGCACCTTCTACTTCCCACCTATTTTCACACATATTATCTTGCTTGAGCCTCACAATTACCTTGTGAGGTAAGTAAAGCCTGTGAGTCTCACTCTGCAGTTGAGGACGCTGAGGATTGTGGAGGTACAATCACAGCAAGTTCGAACTTGAAGATCATTTGTCTTCCATGATTTTTAACTTTAGTTTGTGGGCTGTTACATAATGAGAAGTTATCTAGCTATGGCTTCTAAATTATCATAGTCTTTGCAAGCTTGCTTTCTCCTTTTGATTTTATTAATGAAATCTGGCAGTGGAGACGTAAGAACTCGTATGTTTCAAGTGTCTTGGCCACTGACTGCAAAATCGCATTTGACAGCTGCTGGTTGACTTCTACTTACGTTTTTGATAACAGTCAAGTCTTCTAGAGCTTTGAGGAAGTTACCGAGTTGCCTAGCATGTGTTAAATTTTTGAATAATCATGCTAATGGTTGTGATCTTTGCTCTGCTGCATTCTCCATCAGTTTCTCTTGCAGATATTAAAACAATGTCACTGCTCTAGGGAACTGTGGGTTGAGCCATATGGTGTTCTTGTTGTTTTATAAACTCACATGGTGACCTTTATCCAAAATAACAACAATAAGTAGAACTCTGTAGTAAATTGCTGTGCTCTGTGGATTCATTGTATGAAAATATGCTTGAAAAAAAAATAAACTTTAATTTTATGCTACTGTGCCCACTTTGAGATCCCCCTCCCAACTGGAAATTCTATGTTCTTATTTTGACATACTACAAACAACATGCCATGATTACTGTTTACATGTACCATTAAAGCTTATGGACTTTTTGCTTTTAGACCTGAAGCTGATAATGCAATTTTACAATCTTGAGAACCAATCAAAAATCTTTTGGAAGTCAGCTTACTTAAAGAAACCCAGGAAACCACTCTCCGCATGAAGCTTGGAATATCATGTGACTCCTGTTATAAATAGCCTGTTTGAAGAGATAGCAGTAAGTTAAATTACAAACTGTTTTCCAAGTAATTGATATCCATTACTGCATTTGGACAGAGAGGAATTATTTTTTTTAAGGTGGCTGGTGCTCTGATATGCAAAGATAGAGTGCTCTTTCTCTTGTCAGTGGCTTGCAGAAAAATTATACTTTTTAAGACTTTACAGAGAAACGAAAGGATTTTTTTCAAAGGTTTATACGTTTCTCAGAATGTAAAAGAAAAAAGATTCCGGAAGCTCTGATGGCCAGGCCGTTTGTGACTGATAGAGGACTTGATTTAAATCACTTGTGCCAAGGTCCTAGCACTCAAGAACAAGTGAGTCGGGGGCACACAGGAGCTGTCCATATTAGATGAATTATAGATTGGAGTAGATGACAGCTAAGTCTCTAAAACCCACTAATTCCTTAATTCAGCCTTGAGGTCATACAAAGGGGGGATAATTAAATTCAACACATACCCAAGGGAAATTTTAAAAAGAAATCAGATTTGATGGCAGCTTGGTGGTACATGTGGAAGCAAGCATTCTTTGGAGTACAGAGATGGAGTTCCTTGTTGCTCCATCCTCAAAGTCTGTGTGATTCTCCAAAGAACAATGAGCAAAGTGGAGATGCATTAAGTTCTCTACTCCCTAAGGCATCAGGCATCCAGTGGTGCAGCCCCATCTAGAGCATTTGCTCCCGCCCTCCCGCTACAGACCCCAAATCTGATGGACAGCAGGGCAGAGATTTGTCATAGCTCCACTATCATTCTTTTCTCCCCCCATCTCTCTCTCTCTCTCTCTCTCTCTTCCCCTTACTCCACCTCCTCTGGCTTTCTGTCATTTCTCCAGCTTCAATTCTTCCTTTGCCCTCAGCTGTTCTTGCAGCAACTCCTGTCTGACTCCCAGAGGTCATCAATACTACCTGATGCTTTTCTGAGCATTACTCCCTTATTCCTACTTGAGGGAGTGTTTAGACTTTTGGCTCATACGTTTTGAAAAAGCATTGTAAGACCAGTGGATATTCTTTGTCCTTCAGACCTTTTGTTAAAGGAAAACATAGTTAGCAATCATATTGTTCCATAGGAGGCTGTCCACTCTTCAAAGAAAAGCACTCCTCTGACACGCAGCAGTAGAACTAGAAATAAATAATCCATCAACAGATCTAGAAGGAGCCAATAGGTTTTAGTAGAAACCAAAGAGAATGAGATATAGAATCATCCCCATGGAATTATATTTGGATATAATGAAAGCAAATAGGCAATAGACTGACAGGCAAGGTATTTCCAGGAATTTTAAAGGATCCATGCATCTGTCTTATTCATGCATTGAACCTTCCTGTGAATAAGTTAATATCATTTCCACGTCATAATACTGAAGCTGGACTCTAGTCCCTGTGGTATAGTCCAGTGCTCTTTTGGGTACATTTCTGATTGTTGTGGGATTATAATGGTTGGCACTTCTTTGAACTCAGCACTCCTTTGGAACACTGAGCCATGCTCTTTAGAAGAATGTTTGCTCGTACAAAAGTGTAGTTTGTGACACATGATAAAAGAACATGGCCACACACGTTCCTGTTAGAAACAAAGATCCATTATTACCTGGGCTTTTGCTGTTAGGGTCTTGAGAGATTAGCAGTTTTTCATAAAATTTTGTTTCCTGCAAAAGAAGCTGGGGACTTAAACAGAAATAGTTGTTATTTAATGGCTTTTGTCTTTTGTCTTCTTGAATATTCTATCCTTCCACTATTTAGGCTGAAATTGATTGATTTAAAAATAAAATGAATATAAAACACTCTTAGATGGTAGTACATTGTCAGGGTTAAGAGCAGGGACTATAGACCCACATAGACTGAGCTCAGTCCTAACATCTAACTCTTAACTGTTTGTGTGCTCTTGGGAAATTTGCTTCAAATTTTTCACTTGTGAAAATGAGGACAATAGGGCGCCTGGGTGGCTCAGTTGTTAAGCATCTGCCTTCGGCTCAGGTCATGATCTCAGGGTCCTGGGATCGAGCCCCACATCGGGTTCCCTGCTTGGCAGGAAGCCTACTTCTCCCTCTCCCACTGCCCCTGCTTGTGTTCCCTCTCTTGCTGTGTCTCTCTCTGTCAAATAAATAAATAATAAAATCTTAAAAAAAAAAATGAGGACAGTAATGGTACCTACATCATAAGATTGTGGTCAGTACATGTACACTGAATGCAAAATACTTAGAACAGCACCTGGCACCTTCTATAAGTATTAACTATTATTATTACAATTAACCAATAAAAGAAGACTGCTATATTCCTATATTTAAATCATCACAAAAAAGCCATCACAGAGGGTCATGTCAGTGGCTCAGTCAGTTAGGCGTCCAACTCTTATTTCTGCCCAGCTCATGATCTCAGGGTCGTGAGATCCAGCCCTGTGTTGGGCTCCTCACTGGGTATGGAGCCTGCTTGAGATTCTGTCTCTCCCTCTCTCTCTGCCCCCCCCCCAGCTCAAGTGCGCATGCTCTCTCTCTGTCTCTCTCTAAAAAAAAATCACAAAAATATTTAATATAGGAATATGTAAAATTATAATTTTGTGGAACTATATTTCACAGAGTTGACTCAGTCCTATGCAAACAGTACTTGACTATCCCCAGCATATGAAGCTGACCCTTCTATTTATTTCAGGATGCACAGTTTGTATTTTTGCCCATTGTTGGAATTTTGCTGTTTTCTCAATGAACAAGAGAAGAGAAACCATTTCTATAGAGGTTGTTTTTTTTCCTCCTCATTCTACTTTTTCGTTTAAAGTTGAAATACATGTTTTACAAGTATATGTGGCTTTCATCTGCAAGGGGTACCAGGATATCTGTTGGCCCCACTAAAAAGGAACAGACACTGAAATTTCGGGCAGAATTTCATGGAAGACTGCATACTTCTGCTGTTTTTCTCAGGCTTACTGCCTTTAAAGGATTTGTTCACCATTTTTTTTCCCCATTCCCTTCTCTCTCGACACCTGTCCTTTCTGTAACCCCTCCCCTAATTGTGAACACATAGATACATGCATACATGGAAATGTGGTGGGGATGTGTGTGCCTGTTGCCATAGTCAAATATAGTAGATAAGTTCTTTCTGCTCAGGGGCTGCAGCAGTAAAGGCTGATTACACAGAACTCAGAAGGTCATTTAGTCAGACTCTTTATGTCAAATAGTACTTCCCACAAACCAAGGAGAATTGTCTACTCATCAAAAAATAGACTTCTTATCTCCCTTTCGTCTTGTACAAAAGAGTATTTTTAGGGGTTCACCCAATACTGCCAACAGTTAATAAAGAATGGCATTTTAATAGTAGACATTCTAGACGCAGACAGAAACCGCAGTCAAAAAAGACAGTGTTTCATTTTGTTTTCATTCAAGGCCCTGTGCTTCCTACAAAAAAGGTGAAATCATTTAAGTGGCAAAACAAGTCTATATTTAGAATGAAGACACATTGTTACTAGTTTCATTTCTCCCATTTCATGACTCCTATATTTGATCTATCATTTTTTAAAGCTATTTTTACTCTACAAAACAAAAATAAGAGCCTGGGAAAGTAATTCTGTAGAATCAAATGCCTCGTACAAGGTTAGAGAAAATCACTGGTAAGACAGAGATTAGAACACCCAAGTTTTAGTTATTCAACTGTTACTTAAACCACCGAGCCATAATAAATAACTCCCCAAACTGCAGTTAAACAAAATTCCAAGCTTTACTTGAGTCTGTGTCAAGCTTAACAAAGTCATGAATTTGGGGAATTTCTCTGGGAATTCTTTCCTGAAGTTAGTTTAGACAGCTGTTGTCCAGTGAAAGTGCTTTTATGTGCACTTCAGCAGAGGGTTTGTAAGATGAGTGTTTTCTCTTTTTAGAGTACCCAAGAATGTTGATATACCGCTTTTATGATTGATTCATTATTTAATTCTATTTTTTATTTCCTCTTTTAAAGAATCTTCATGCCTATGACTTAAAAACCCATATGTTCCTAATACATGGTGTCTATGAAAGCGTGCCCTTGAAACCAGGATTTCCTGTACAACTCTTATGTGTTGGATAAGACCTTGAAATCAGACAATCGCCTGAGTTCACAGAACTTCTGCCAAAACCATTAGAATTGACTGTCAAAGTTACTTGGAACTGAAGAAGAGCATTAGCTTCATAGCTTGGAGTTGGTCACATTTAAAATTTTAAAAAATTTTTAAAGATTTTATTTATTTATTTGAGAGTGAAAGAGAGAGAGAGAACATGAGTGGGTAGAGGGGCAGAGGGAGAGGGAGAAGCAGACTCCCCTCTCAGCAGGGAGCCTGATGTGGGCTCGATCCCAGGACCCTGAGATCATGACCTGAGCCGAAGGCAGACGCTTAACTGACCGAGCCACCCAGGTGCCCCTCCACTTAAAATGTTAGAATTGCCAATTCAGCTGGTGGTGCCTACTCCACAAACAGATGAACAGTCATGGGTTATTCATATCAACTCATATAACAAGGTGTGGCTACAGAATAGAACGTGAGAGTTGGACTAAAAACAAAAGGAACACCAAATATATTCATATATTCTTCCTGATTTAAATACAACTAAGTACATGATTATTTATACTCTGGGTCACTGAAAGAGTTTTAGGCTGAATGCTTTTCTGAGAGAAAAGAAAAACCCAGAACTAATGCATTGGTGCCAAGTTCCATAATGAGATCAGTCTTACAGGGTGATCTCTAAGACCTGCTAAGTTGTCTAGAAAAAATATCTCTCCATCATCAGGCTGTGTTGTATCCCTTAAACAACCACCAGTTATGTAAGTGCTTCTGTATTTTAAACATGAACCTCTATTTTCTTTGAAAAGTTAGAAAATAGGGAGATGATGGGACTCAAACTGATGGTAAACGTTTAGAGTCATTTTAATAAATTGCTATATCTCCCTGCTTGTTGTCTGTGACACAATTTATGTTGACACACCCAGTACCTAATCCCAACCCTACTCACTCGCCTTCTCCTGCCTTATAAATTGGAAATGCTATATATTGT